GCATATTTTTGTTTTAAATAATGCTTGTCCTAGGAAAAAGTCATGAAAGTAATAGTTTCTATAAATATTAAAAAAAAAAAAACAGAACAGTTAAAGAAGTTTGTTTTATCGATAACTGGGTGTATACTTTAGGGGATCTGTAAAGAGAAATACATTTTTTTTAAAATTAATATTTTGATATATTTTATAATGCTGATTGATGGTTCAATAGTCTTTTAAACTAAATCACTTATAATGATTGTTACAAGTAGGAAATAATAACCATTCAATTAATCATATTTTAATTAATGATTAATTGAAATACTGTATATATGTGTGCATGTGTGTGTATATATAAGCACCTTAGACATTAATTATAATGAAGAAATAGCAATTAATATATGTGGATTTGTGAAATATTTAAAGCAAATATTTAAAACAAAACTAATCCATAATCAAATTCAACACTGTCTGAAGGAGAAAAAAAAGCACTTCGAAGAGTGCCTATTTGGACAATGGGAACTAGAATACAAAAGCACTGCATGATCCTTAAAACAGATGCAGATATTTTAATGAGTCACAAGTGGATTCTCTATTTGCACTTTGCATGCTCCGAAGCACCTCCTCAGAATCAAACATGAAACTCTCTAGCGACAAATAGTCCTCAACTTAAAACTACAGTTGGAACCAAAATTTCTTGTCATTACGTGATGACGTGATCAAATTGCTTAGTGACAGAACTCCCTGTTGCCATCTGTAAGCAAATTCTATTGGTCATTAGTGAGGACCAATCCAAGCTAGTCTTTTCCCTCCCAGCCCTCAACTTCAGTTAGGTAAGGGCCTGTCTTGAGTTTCCCCCCCAATTTAATTGGTCCCCTATCCTGACCTTTTGGCCATCCTGGATCCTCCCTTCTAGGCCAGAAAACAGCCTCAGGATTATGTGGCTTTGGGCTGCTTGCCACGTTCTGGCTCAGGGGTTTCTTGGCATGCAGTGACTCTGAGGCCGCAAGAAGCCCCTGAGTTGCTGCACAGCTGAAAGCCAGAGCTGCCTCACTGTGGCCCAGCAGCACAATGCCAAACTTCAGCCATCCTGGAAGTCCCAGCCCCCCCAGGAAGTTCCCATCACTCTGCCATGAAGCTGCAGCTGGGAAGCCCCAGTTGCCCCGTTCCAGCTATGATCAGAAGTCAAGGACTATCTGGGGCATGTCTTTTGATAGATTACTCACTAAGCTGCATTAAAATTAGGATTTATAAGTGAAGTATGTACCTTTTCTCTTTTATCTGGTGGTTTTGTTTATCTTTTGCAATAATGCAGAACATAATTATCTACTCTAAAAGTTATTTTCCTCTGAATTTATGATTAAGAACTTTAACCATTTTCCCTGGACTTCGATAGACTCATTCCAAAAATGATTTATTTTTGTTGGTTTCCTACAGGAAACCAGACCAACATCCTATTACTTTATTTTTCTTACTTTTAGCAGAAATCACATAACATTAACTGGAAGGGGAAAACCTATTCAGCCAGTAGTATAGAAACAATAAGGCATCAAAATGAAGAGAACACTGGTTAAGCTTAGACCAACTGATAATGATGTACTGTGCCACTATAAAATAATAACTATATATGAAAGCTGCACGAAGACATCAAAAACACAAAAGGCAAATAAGATTTAATGTGGGTAGAATTGTTAAATCTCACACAAAATATTAACAACCCCCAAATTTTCTTATACTGAATTTGAGATTTATTTGTACTGCTATCATAAGATGGCTGGTTTTTATATTTGGGAGATTTTGGTACCTTCAGATAAGTTTGGATTTCAGGAAACTCCCTGGAGAAATTTGTGCAGTTTTCTTGGCAACGTTTTAATAAGTGGTTTATCATTTATTTCTTCTAGGGCTAAGACTGATCCAAAGTCACCCCACTTGCTTTATATTTAAGACAGAACTGGAATTCAGTCTACCAGTTTCCCAATTCATGCCTTTAACCATTATACCAGACTGTCTCTTAAACTGTGAACTACTTTAGGAACTTGAGTTATAAAATATAATAACATTCAAACAGGTAAGCATCACCATACAACCACCCATATTTAACAACTGTCATAGGAAACACAAAAAAGTCCAAATAGTGGACATTGCAGTATTTGGAGATAGCAGAATGGAAAAGAAAGAACTGGAGAAAATCACAAAATACAAAGACTTTTAAATCAAAGTGGAAAGACAGTGACAAAGCAAACAAAGATAGTACCAATAGTAATAGGCAACTTGTATGCAATTAAAAAAACATCTGGAACATCACTTGAACACCATTGGCATTGACAAAATCACCATTAGTCAATTGCAAAAGGCAGCTTTACTTGGAACAGTTTACATCTTATGCTGATACCTTTAATAACAACACCTGTCTATCCCAGATCCTTAGGAAGGTGAATAAAAATGCCAAATCTACTATGGCATAATAACAGACAATATTGCCATATCCAAATATTTATTAGCAAAAATTTTGAAGATTAAAAAGTACAGCACTGCCTACATTCCAGAAAATCAAAAGGTAACAATGATGAGAATTATTGTTATTACTGAGTAACAGAAAATTATGAATGTATATATGTATCAAAACACAGAAACACACAGAAATACACATGTACATAGCTAAAAAAAACATAAAAGACAGCAAAAGTATACTTTCATCTTCATTCCTCATCTTGTGGCTAAATACAGAAGAGGTAGTAATGTGGGGATTTATCTTGTTTAATTTTATATCACTCCTCAACTCTTTCAAATAATTCAAATCAGTTACATGAGAATAAAAGAAAACAAAGATGAACAGAAAGAACGAACAATACACACACAAACACACAATGTTAAAGAGAGTTTTATAAACAATTTTGCACATGAATTTGCTTAGATCTCAAGCCCTGTCAAAAATTCAAAAGCTGATCTATCAAGTCGGGCATTCAAATGCAGCCATGGGTTGAAGGGGCAGTGGAAATAACACATACACGAAACCCTCCTGCAAACTAAAGGGTCAACTGTGTGCTCTGATAAGTCCTGGCCAACACTTACAAACAAAAAGAACGTTGGATTGGATCCAAACCTGTTTGAGTGGAAGGGATTTCAACTTGGCAGAATATCCTATGACTAACCATGTACCTCTTGCCCTGCAATATACCATCCAAAATGCCATATCTTTCTGAATATTCTAACATTCAGGAAAAGCAATTGGAAAGGAATATATAGCTGGGATATAGACGGGACAGAAAAGTCTTGATGCGCAAACAGAACTACTAACAGAACTATTATCTTTTATTTCTATGTTTGATAAATTTAATTTAATTTCATATAATGTGAAACTAAATTCTTTCTCAGAATATATGAAGCAAATATAGGCTTCCCATTAAAAATCAACACTAATAAGCAGGAGGCAGTTCCTGGACCAAGAAAGGTAAATAGGGTTAGGCCTGATTGATATTTGTACAGAACACTAACTACCCTGGAAGCCCAGAACTATAGGTTTGACTGCAAAGTTGTAAAAACATCTATCCAAACATAAATGTGTCTGGATAAGTCGCCAAGAGTTCGGCTTGATTTGATGGTAACGAGTAACGTTCTTCTCATTCCTTTAACTGATTACGTTTATCTCTGGGTTTAAAACTTTTTACCAAGTTAATTGTTTTATTGTACTGTAACTGACTACGGGGGTTATTTATACAATAGAAATTTGAAACTTTGACATTGTGATGATCTAGATAAATTAAATCTTTAAATATGATAAAAACATGTTTGATCAATGCTAAATAAAAGTTCTAAGATGTTCATGAATGTAAGATTGTTTAACTTGTGTAATTGATATTGATAAAATTGATTAAAAAGTTGCAAAATGCATTACAATATTTTATAATATTAAGGTTTAGATTTTTAAGCTTAATATTTAATACTAAAGTCTCCCACTGTATTTTTTTTTAAAGTCTGTGCTTAAAACTTTGATGATCAAGAAGCAAAAGACAAGGGAAAATAAGATTTCAAATTTCTCAGTGACCAGAAAGGTTGAAAGGTAAACGGGAGTAGAATAAAGTGGTTTGCAGAGCTTCAACTTCTGGAGAAGGGAAGAAATCCATTCCAGTGCAGTGTATGGCCAATGGTGATCAGAGACTCTACAAGGGCACTCTCTTCAGAGAAGTGTCAAGCTCACCACTTTGTTGAACAAATGTACTTGCTTTGTCATTTCCAACATGATGGAATGGTACTTCCTTAACAAATTGAGAATCTATCTCAGTTTGTAGACACTGAATATATAATTCTTTATTGTTTATATCAATGTATTTTATAGAAATAATGTTCATGGATATTTAAAGATTATACCTATATTTAAATAACAAGAAAAGTTGCAAGGAAAAAAGTGTTTAAACACAAAGGGCAGCACTGATACAAAAATAATTGCAAAAAGTGAAAAAGGGTGTTCTACATCAGAGGTCCCCAACCTTTTGGGCACCAGGGACCGGTTACGTGGAGAGAGAATTTTCCGCAGACTGGAGGGACCGTAGTTTTGTGTGCTGCCTGCATCCCGCGGATGGGGCTTTGCTTGTTTGTGCGGCCCGGTTGCTGGCATGCCATAGCCAGGTATCCAGTCCACAGTTGGGGACCTCTTTTCTACGTCATTCAAGAATATCCTAAACTCCAATCAACCTTCAGTTAAGAAATTAACATGACTACATAATTTACAAGTGAGTCATTTATCTTTGCTGTATGTATTTAAATAGTTATACTCACAAATCATGCTTCTCTCTCCTATATACATGCATATACACCAACACCCGTATGGTATAGCTTTGTTTACTTAAACCATTATTTAAGGTTTCTTTTGTATTTTTACATTCTCAGAATGTTGTTCATAAATATATGTTAAAATAATATAAAAATGGGATCTAACAAAATAAGTAGCAACAGAATATACTACTTTTTCCCTTCATATAATCACATGTTTATTTTGTAAGACATTTATTAATATTACTTACTTTAACATGACTCTGTGCTCCAAGGTTGTAAATTTCAGAGGGCTTAACTTCATTGATTATTTTCACCAAGCAAGTACTATCTGTCAAATCACCATAATGTAGTTTCATATCTTCAAGTAAAAAAAAAAAAGTTAAAATTCATATAAAATTGCCATGTGTTGTATTCATTTCTATTTATACTTTCCTAATTCCTTGAAAAGTCATGCAGACATATATATTTTATTATAACTATAATTAAAGGCAGATCACAGCTTTCTAATAATATACGATACTCCAATCTTCATATTTTACTAAGTCAGACATTATTTTCTTTGAAATGTAAGTCACCGAGTCATAAATCATAGGAATTCTGAAATTTAATTTGCATTTATTAAATTACATGAGCTATTAGATTTTGTACCAACTGGTTTTCCGACAAAAATATAAAAATATGATTAAAGAAAAATTAAATAAAATGAGTTATATAATACAGAAAGTCTACTGAAAACATTTGAAGTTCTATTTATTTTCAACATATTGTCCTAGTTCAGTTTTGCTAAAACCATTTATGTTACCAGTCACAATATGCAAAATATATTTTCTTATATTTTTCCTGCTCTGTTAACTGGTTGCCTGAATTACTCAGGTAGAGTAAAGTCAGGTAGCTTGTGAATACGATTAGATCATTATTACATGGCCCTCATTATCTGCAGTCTAATTATCAGGTGAATTTACATATTCATGATTGATAAATAAAGAAGACAACTATAAATATGTAAAGGTTTTCACATGTTATGATTTGGCTTTGATTTTATATAGGTACAAATGGCAGGCTTTCAGATATGCATACACAATATTTTTTTTAAGAATAGGTTGTCACTTCAACCTACCTATATCTGCTTCCTTCCTCACCTTTCTCAGTCATAGATTTTACTGGACCAACCCACATGAGCCTCCACGTGGCAGCTTGGTCTCTTCAAAGTGACTAACTTGGCTGGTGATGGAGGAGGTTATTCATTTGCACTTCCTCACAATGGGTTCTCTATCTACATGGCTCTTTTGCCATCTTAGTGGATGGTCCTCTCAGTCAATTGCTGGATCCTTTTGCTACAGTGAGAGCCTTATGGAGGACAGGAGTCACCACAAGCAATTATACAAGTAAAATGTCTCCATTTTCCATCAATTAAGTTGCATTGAAGAAGGGGACCAGCTGCACAGGGAAGCCACATGAACTCTCATACTAGTCTGACTTAATGAAATTGCCACATTTGGGTGAGGAGGAGAAACAAATACAGAAACATTGCTTAGATAACATCTATGAGAGGAAGATGAAGGAACTGGATGACTATTAGGCTCTAGGATCTTATCCCAATTCTCATAAACCTTTCTTGTTTTTTGTAGCTTTATTATCCATGATTCTGGTTAAGAAAATTGTGTTGGAACAGAACCTTGGAAAATAACAGTCACCAGTATATTATTTTGTTAGAAATGGCTGATGTTAGTAACAAGTTTGATTAGCAAGCTGCCTTGCTGTAATGGCTAAAATTTTGATATCTGATCACCAAATTCATTTTACTGCTAACATTTTTATATTGATTTCATATGGCATAGAGGGACTTGATAAAAATTGCAATTTTATGACCAAGAAAAGAATTGTGAACTAGTTCTAATTAGTCAGGGAAATGATTTGCAATATATTAACAAACCTATATTGCTATCCTAAAAAGTCTTCTTAACTTTGCTTTTTTTAGGGATGATTAATGATATCAAAATTTCATGTTCTGTTCCAGTTGAAATTAACAAAAATTAACAAAAATATTTTCTAAAGTATTTTTCAAATGCTAAAAAAAAGGATAGAGGCTAGACTAAAAAAGATGCTCACATAATCAGTCTCAGTGATCAATTTCCTGTTTGTTGAAATCTTATATAAACATTAGCAATAAAAACAAAATCACAATTCCGTCTTACCTTTCGATGCATACTTACTTCCTTCTATATGAGCCTGCGGGTTCTTGTAGAGATGTTCAATTCGTCCTGTGTTAAAAGAACTAGATCTACGAACAATTCCGTGTACCTGCAATTGAACAGAAGTACAGAAAATATTTTTGATATAATGTTTCACAATATCAAGTCGTTGTGAGATATATTTCATGATACAGAAGTGTCTGATTCAAATACAAACACAAGAAATGGCCGTAAAGATTCAGGGGACTGAATTATTCCACCACACAACACAATTGTCCAAATATTCTTCTGAAAAAGCACCTTTGGAATTATTCTCCAACAGTTTCTCTTGTAAGTTGAGCTCAAAAATGGCTGTGCAAAAGCTACTTAATGGAAACAGCTGCATGAAAATAATGGCACCCTATTTCTCCATGTGCTTTCTCTTGTTGAACAATCATTTCTGATTATTTCTGACAAACATCTCTAGCCTATGGAACTTGTATAACATATAATTATAAATATGTACTTAATTTGTACTGTAAATTTGTACTTAATCTCTTCATGGGTTCAGATTGACATAATTTATGCAGTGTTTTTCTCTGAACAATGGAAAGAGGGAGAGTTTTGCTACCTACATATATAACATAGAAAATTTAATTACATCTAGCCAACCCTGGCCAAACTCAGCACTAAGTGGGATTAGACCTAGACCTGGATGACAGACCATAAAGAAACCCCAGGTTTGTAAAATGGACTAGAAAGAAAAAAAATTAAAACCAAAGGCAGTGGCAAACTATTTCCATAACATATTTATAGTGAAAGTACCCAATGAAACAAATTACTTTATGAAAAGTACCAGACAGTTTCCTTGATTTTATTTCAGCTGCTCTCTTGTTCTTCCTTTTGCTTATGTTAAAAAGACATGATTTCTAAGTTACAAATATAAAAGTAGTAGTGTCACTTTACTATTATGAAATATACTGATTAATGTTAGAAGTAACAAATAACACAGAAGATGGAACTACGACAGAAACATTTTAAAGAACAAGGAAATTTTTATATTACATATATTCAGTGATGGGATTCAAATATGTGAACAACCAGTTTTCTGTGTGTGGATGCTACTTCCGGAAGTCCATTCTGGGCCTGGGCAACAAAAAAAAAAAACTATCTACCGGTTCTGCCAAACTGGTGTGAACTGGCTGAATCCCACCACTGCATATATTATGTTGTTATGACAGCTAAATGGAAAAGGATCAAGTTCATTAATGAGGTACCACATTTCAGCTGTTCATTCTGTGGTAGAACATTATGGTACCAAAATTCTAACGTTTCATAATGGCTGAAACACAGTTCAGTTTATTTTTTCAAGGTCCCCCACCTCCCATTCCCTGAAAAATACCTTCTTTAGGAGGCATTCAAAATAAGTTAACTTCTTCCTCCTGCATCGTAACACGTGAATTTAATGTAGCTTTGCTTAGCACAGGCTGCTGTTTATCTGAATAAGCAGGAAGTGTGGAAAAACAGCTATACCCTGAGGATCGGAGGGATTCCACCATTGCACTCTCCATGATAAACAGTACAATGTACTGGCAATGATTACAGCTCATGTTGTGCATTCTTTTCAAACATTTTGATTTCTTATCTCCTGCTGAATGGAAAACATAACCAGAGAGTGACAGCAACAAGGAAGCTCTGTCCAAATTATTCCATGAGTCTGCAGTCAGTCAGCAAGACTACTCACTCACCTCATAGCCCTTTTCCAGCAGGAACTCTGCCAAGTATGAGCCATCCTAATGAGAAGATAGGAAAATGTTATGAAAGTGTTAGGACCGTCTTATCTCTATGTGGAAGCTGTCAGCTTCGGTTATCTTAAGAATACTGTAAACTCAGAAATGAACTTGTAATTAACAGCCTTCATAGAAAGTTCAATGCATTCAATCAGTTACATGTTAATCAATCAAAGAATTTAGTACTTCAAATCATGCCTTTGTTTTTCAGCATACAGAACAATAGATGATTAATTCATTGAGACTAACTATTGTTGCCTACTTTTAATTTGTCATGTTGGAAAATGAAGTGTATTATGTAAGGAAGATAGATATCTTTACATGTAAGTTTTATAACAGCTTTCTAGTCCACAATTCCTGGAGAGCAGTATGGAAATGGACTTGAAGAAGGAGTTTAATGACCTTTTTGTAAGTTATCAGTTAAGATCAGAAAGAAAGGAGACTGTGTTGATTTTCTTTAGTGTAAGGCAGGGGTGTCAAACTGCCGCCCCGTGGGCCGGATGCATCATCTGGAAGCCATGCCCACCCCATTGCCGGCAATGGCAAAACTGTCCCGATACGTTGCGCGATGTCACATGATGTTGCGAGTTTGACATGTCTGGTGTAAGGGAATCTTTGTCAGACTATCAAGTAATTCTGAAATTATATCCAAAAATAATAGAATAGAGTTATAGTTCTTGTGCTGTCTATTTCCTGACTGAGTTCTGTTGGGACTGCAATACCTGTAACTAAAAGAATTTATTCTGCAGCAAAACCATTGTTAAAATCATCAAAGACCTGCAGTGTAAGTATCCCAACACAACTTTCAAACAATTCATACACATCCAAAGGGACTACACATGTGCACATACATCCACTTCCAATAAATCTAGGTAAAATTATACATTTTTTATAGCAGAGTAATAAGGGTCCTGAGTAGGCCCCATTTATAGTATGCTTCACACCACATTGAGCAGGATATGGACAAGTTTACAAAAATAGAAAAATATGGAGAAGTCATGTGAATATTGGTGTAAATTAATTTTAGTTATATATATTTTTTCGTATTTCATGCCCTAATTTCTTTGCCACATGATTGTTCTTTTTCTGATCTTCCATAAAATTGTTTATATCAAAAAAGAATAGTGTAAGAGGTATACAGGTATACTTTTAGAAGCTTTACATTATCTATAGAGTTTCTTTAATAATATAAGTAGTCCATGTTGAGTGACAATTGGAATTGAAACTCATTAAGTTAAAAAGTCTCTAAATGAAATTTTGTTTGTAGTTAACAATCTTTCTTCAGCTTTCTTTTGCTTTACAGTCCAGGAAAGTTATAAATGAGAGGACTGGAGGCAAAGTTACAAAGTCTGCAAGGGTGGGGAAAGGGAAGTAAGCAATTTCTGTAGACAATCTTTCCTTTGTCTGACCCTTTCTCCCCATCACCCGCTGCAATGCGGAGAGATTGGAGAGAAATGGATTTCAAGAGAGTCTTGAAAGTCTTCGACTTAAAACCCTTAATAACACTCAACATTCAAACTTACAATAACCTCAAAAACAATTACTTACAACCCATTCTCAAAGTTACGACTGCCACACATACTCCCTGTGGCCACATGATCGCATTTCAGGTGCTTAAAAACCAGCTCATGTGACCATGACTTGCAACATTTTTTCCCCATTTGACAGCAACCATTTGCCAAACTACCAAAATGGTTTGCTAACAACCAAAGTGACTTGCTTTATAAGTATCGTAAAAAATGTTGTAAAATTAAGTCAGGTCATATGATTATCCACTTAATGACAGCAACAACTTATGATCGAAATTCAGGGCTCAATTGTGGTTGTAAGATGAGGACTACCAGTACGCTGTTTGCTCTTCTCCACATCAAAAGTACTGCCATCGCATTGGAGAAAGGTCGCTGAATGAATAATTAGTAAGTGAGGACTATCTATATCACACGTTTCTCTTATTACAAATATAAAATCCATCGACTTCCCCAAAACTACAATGTTATAAATATTTATGTGAACATTTTAAGAAAACACTTTAAACTATAAGCTGCCACATGAAAGAAAGCAAAAATGATAGAAAAATTATCTAATTGTTCAATTTGAAACCTGAAAAATATTAGATAGCTTCATTAATAAAACTCAAGATCATTCACTATACTACCAAAGAAGTATTGCATAAACCCAATTTGAATGAGCATATATTATACAAATCACACATATCATTTTTCATTCAGAGGGTGAATGGGGGAAGAATAAGTATGTTTGCTTCATTCAAGGCAATAACGGAAAATTAAAAATATTTACTATTCTGATTTGATCATATAAGTTATTATAAATCAAATACAAAAAGAGCAGCTTTGCAGATTACTTAACTTTTGATGCAAACTAGACCTAAACACAAAAGTATTCCATCAAATAAGGTTTTATTCTTTTCACCTAAGCTGTTTTAAACTTATGAACCTTGCTGGAACATTTTAAATGAGCTATGGCATTCATTTCCTTTGTATTTCCTTTCCAGGTTTATCAACTGACAGAAAACGACAAGATAAATAAGTAGGAAACAAACAATTATTAGAAGCTAATAATTTCTAATTCCACAATGTTATTGCTAATTTGTTATTTAACTATTTAATATAATAATTAGGACTTACTACATTAGAGCAATCTGTATCATTAGCCTTGATTTCTTTGCAGCAAAATGATATAGTGAACATCTTACTCAAATAATCCCACAGACTGGATATTTACAATTTCATTTTGTCTCCGGAGTTTCAAATACTCCAAATTGATCATCTTGTATATGTATTTACGCATAGCTCTTTTGATTTAAATGTTTAAGAAAAATCCAAGACTTTTATTTTTTGGAGTTTGTAACATGGAAAAATCCACATGAACTACTACTAAAGCAGCGGTTCTCAACCTGTGGGTCGGCACCCCATTTGGGGTCGAACGACCATTTCACGGGGGTCGCCAAACAACGCAGTCCGCCATTTTTTTCCCTTTTCCTTAGCTGTGCTACTCCCTTTTATTCTATTGGCTTTTGAAAGCCAACAGAATAGACTCTCTTGAATAGAGTCTAATTCTATTGGCTTTAAAAAGCCAATTGGAATTGTCCAGGCTGTCTCTGCCCTGCTGAGCCCACCAAAAGTCCCATTCTGCAAACGGTGCTGCAACTTGTCTGCAGCGAAGGCGAGCTGTCTGGAAGTTTCCACCCCTCCCTGCTGAGCAACTACTAAAAATGTAAGGCCAGGGGTGGGAGGTGGGAGGCCGGCGGGCGCAGGGAGGATTGCTGGCGCGCGTGGGGCCCGGCGGGTGCCTTACCTCCCTTGGGCTGGGCCAGCTGGTGGCCCAGCTGGTGGTCAGCCTGTTCTGTCTCTGCCACTTGCCAGCTACGCCTTGGCCGGCGCACGGGGCAGCACCACGCATGTGCGGCGCTCCCGGGCAGGGAAAGTCCTCGACTTACGACCGGTTGGGTAGTCCTCAACTTACAACTGGTTGGGTAGTCCTCAACTTACAACCAGTTGCGGTATTAAAAAGGTTGAGAACCACTGTACTAAAGGGTGCTCCTAAATGATTATTTTACAGATTGCACTGTACCTTGCTTATATGTGTTTTCCAAACATTTTCAGTTACAGGATCCAATCTGGGTCGGTCACCAGGAACAGAGGTTTTGTCTATAGAGCAGTTCTAGGTAGAGAGAAGTTCCCTGTCGAAGGGCTCCACCATGAGTCCAAAAGCTTGGAAGAGAAAACCTCTGGTCCCGGTGACTGACCCAGATTGGATCCTGCAACTTTATCCTGGCACATGTATATTTGTCTTCATTCGTGATTTTCAGTTACTTTCAAGCGGAAAAAAAAATGAAAAAAATTTGAGGGAAATGCAACCAAACAGGATACAACGCACAATTGCTACGATTTATAAAAAAAATTAGGAGTCTCTCAATATGAACAAAAAAATTGAAATTTCACTTTCTTCATTATATAAACTTGATATCTGAGTATTCTGTGAATGAATGAATGAATGAGTTAATCAATGGATGAATTAATGAATTAATGAATCTACTTTTACAGCACTGTGTGTAAAAGACTTATCTTTTTAATGCCATCAAATGCAACAGTAATGCTATTTTCAGTTATGTTGATAACTTTTAGTCTTAGATCTAAGATTTTGAATAGCATAAATAGCATAGCACTTAGACTTAGATACCACTCCATGGTGGTTTACAGCCTTCTAAGTGGTTTATAGAGTCAGCATATTGCCCCCAACAAGGCTGAGTCAACCTTGAACCAGTCCGAATTGAACGCCTAGCAGTGAGCTGAATGCAATACTGCATTCTAACCACTGCGCCATCACAGTTCCTTATATATCTTATATAATATCTTATCTTATGCCTTAAATATCTTACATAATATCATATATAACAAAGCATTGTTTTAAAATTATTTCACTCATCTCTCCCCATTTTTCTACCTTTCTTGATTTTTTTTAAAAAATATTTATAATACTGAAAAATTATTATAAGTAGCAAATAGCAATGCCTAAAAGTTGTCATAATGAATTATGAAAGAATTTGAATCTATTCTAATTTGGTTAGCTTCATTTTTTTCACCAATTATAGTTATACCTTATAAACTTCTGATCCATAGTAAAAAGCTTAAGTAGAACGGAATTTCAAATCTTCAATAGGAATCATTTACATATTGAAATGATTCAAAATGTAACAATTCACTCTTAATTTCATTAAACTTGCATTCATGACAACAAGACTAGAAATTAATTAAGCAATACATAATCATAATCAGAAAATATACATCAGCTAAAATATTTTTAAAATTCAGAAACTAAATTTAAGGTACTACAATTACTAATACAAATACAGTTAATTAGCAAAATAAAACTGCTAGAGAGAATGCTTTCTGATCTGTTATCTTCTTAGTTTTTTATTGTTTCTTTTGAATAGTATATAACTGTACAAATCTATGTGTCTATTGATGGGTTGATACATTCAG